ACCCTGGCCCCACTACCCAGCAGAAGCACCAGACAGGTGAAGGAAACCCCCATTCCTTAACCTCGCTGCCTGACAGGAGCACTAGGCAGGAAGGGTAAGACCCCATACCCCGACCCCATTTCCCTATCAGGAGTGCCAGGACAGGTGTGGCAACACTGCTGGCAGAATGGGTGGAGAAGGCCCTATTTGCTCTGGCTCAGGGCCCCACAAACCAGTCATCTGCCTGTGAGAACACTGACCAGGACAAGGCAGAATTTGCCACGATGCCCAAACACACATAAAAATAAGACACAACATAATAAAACAAACAACAATAAAATCTACAGGAACACACAATTCCAATTAGTCCTTGAAACTGTGACATGGCCTAAAATAGGGGGGAAAAAACTCTATCATTTGAAGACAGAGGAACCGAAGATGTTGGAAGCACTTTATTCTCTCGTGGTTCCTAGTATTTGTTCCAATAACCTCAGAAAAATAGGTTACTTGCCCGTAAATGTATTTCATGGGATCTGCTTACATAGACCCGCAGTATTAGGTACATATATACATGTGTGCACAACCAATTTGAGCCCTGTAGGAAGCATTGGCTATTGAGGCCATATGCACACTTGTACATAGTAACCAGTGTTCATGCCCACAAGCATATAAGGAGACGTTACCCTGCTTTGTTCCTCAGTAACTTCCATTAATTCATATTCCATAGGTTCCAAAGAACTAGGGAGGGAAGGTGAGCTCTACCAATCTCTGTGAGCAATAATTTCAAAGAATTCCATGTGTTCCTTATGCCCACTGTTAAGCCTAAACAGTTGAAGCAGTAATTGTAGCTCCCATGGCCAAAGTTTTCTAGAGGGTTTCATCCAATTTGGGGAGTATGCAAGTGTACCCAAGAGCATGGGTGTGCAGGCAATCTTCAAAGAAAAATAAGGAGACAATATAAAGACAAACAGAGAGAGAAAAATGGAAGGTATTTTATTCAGCTTAAACCCTCTTGCATCCCTATTGGCAGATTTAAAAAGCAAAATACTTAGAGTATACTGTGGGTAAATAAAATTGATCATACCATACAATCTGAGGAAGATGACATTAGTGTATGTATCATGGTGCCATATGAAGCATGGTCAGCTGTCTCTGTCATCATCATTTCTGTGTCTGACAGTGAAGTTTGTGTTTCTACAGGTTCCGAAGTAGAAGACAGCACCTTTATATAACTGGAATGGGATGAATCTTTTACAGTGGTGCTCTGTGATTCTCTAACCTCCACTTGCTCTGGTACTGTTTGATTGTAGTAAGGTTTGATTGTTCTTTGTGGTGGAACTCTGGGCCAATCTGACAGTGTTACATCTGTAACTTCAGATATAGAGACAGATTTTCCTGAAGCTGTGCTGATTTTACTGGGCAAGGAAGCAGTCTGCACAGAAGATGTAGATTTTGTCTTAGTAGTATTTTTTTCCACATGGGAAGTCTGACTACTTTCTGTGGTCTCTGCAATGGAGGCTGCATATTTAAGTTCTGAAACTGTTGAAGGTATAATCTTCTGCTCTGCGAATGCACTCATGGCACCAATTGTTTTCATGACTGTAGTTTTTAGCATTTCTTTAGTACTCAGTGAAACTGGTGAATGTGCAGATGTCAGTAAAGTCTTAGGTGAATGAGACATAGATGTTTGAGAGGTAGCAGGAATTGGGACTGAACTAGAGGCTGTGTGAAGCTCAGTATGAGTAATGGAAGATTCAGTGGTTGTTGCAGTAACACTAGGGGCAATGGTGGTGCCAGGAGTAACTAATAAACTTACTGAAGGACTAACTGATGTTTTCATAGTGACATAAGTGGGCACTATGGTTGTAGTATTCAAAACTGTGCTCCTGGTCAGTGCTGCAGATGGCACAGTGGACTCAGTGACTATTTCAGTGGGTACAAAAGCTCTTGTTTCATATTCTGTGGAAGGACTTGATGATATATTTGTTCCTAATGATACAGCAGATACACGAGAAATCTCAGAAGGTGAAGAAGTAGTAGTAAATATACCAGAATAGCTTTCCAAAGTGACTTTGGGAGTTTTAGAAGTTAATAAATGTAATATTGCAAATGAAGTTTTAGGCATGGCTGAAGAACTTATGTAAGTGTTTGTGCTTAAAGTTAATGTAGAAATACCCAAGGGAGAGGTTGCCAGTTCTGTATGTACGCTTCTTGAGGTTTCTTGTGTACTCATTGATACAGTAGGTGGTTGGGTACGAGTTAGACTTGTTGTCAAAGCAGATGTCCTATTCACTGCTGGAATCACCAAAGAGCTTGTTGTTTTGGATGTCATGGCAGAGGTTTGCAAAACAGATGGTCTTGATGTTGACAACAACATTGTAAGTAATGTGGATGGACTGGTGAAAGACAGTTCCCTAGGAATTAATGAGGTGTCTGTACTTCGTATCAATGAGGCAGTCTTGAATTCAGAATGTGGAGTGATGGGGTACTCTGTTATTTTTGAAGTGGTTCTTACCATTTGATGAGTAACTAATGTAGCATTTATGGGTAATACAGGTGTACTAAAAGGGAAGGCTGTAGAACTAATGGATCCAGTTGACATTTTAGAAATCGTCGATATTGGAACTGCATCAGTATGTAGTGCATATTTACTTTTTGTTGAGATTGTACTTGTTACAGAGACCTCAGAAATTTGAGGAGTAGCTAGAAGAGACTCTTCAGCTGTGGAAGGTTCTAAGAAAAGACTCTTTGAGATAACTGTGACTTCTTTTGTTGCTTTTGGTTTGGGAGATGTAACAGGTAGAGGCACTAATGTAGACATTGTATGTATTACAAGGGGACTCAAAGAAGACCACGTTGTTCTCATGGTTGTAGGGATTTGAGAAGCAACTGGAGATGAAACTTCAGTCATTATAGGTGTGACAGTAGAAACATTATCTGCACTTAATGGAATTATATGTTTGGAGGGAGTCACTGAAATGCCTATTGAAGATAAAAATGTAGGTTCTGAACTTCTAGTTAAAGAACTGGTTGTTCTTAAAAATGATGTTGTAGCTTGGGAGGTGGCTTGAGTTGTCACAGCATAGGAAGCTGTGATTAACTGAGGAGGACTAGTTTGAAAGCTAGTAAATCTAGAAGTAGACATGGGAGTTTGAAAAATAGTTGAAGTTGGGTGAACTATAGGTTGAACCATAGTAGACTTGGTTTTTTCAGTCATAGCAGATAGTGGTGAAGTAGATGCAGTTAATATTAATTGTGGGCCTGTAAGGAACATGGGACTTGAAAAAGATGTCCTTCCAGTTAATGATGGAGATGAAGGAAATACTGTGGATATTTTTGGTAGCTGTGAATGACTTGAAGAAGGTCTTCTGGTTCCCCAGATCCTTGTAGGTACTTCAGTAGTGATAAAGGCTGGTCCAGGGGATAACCTTGCTAATGCTATAGAAGAGGATGCAGTTCCTGTTTCATGTGAAAATGGTGTTATCAGTAAAGAAGTAGGCATTAGTAATGTAGAATGTCTAGGAACAGGACTTGGAGTTAGCAGAGTAAAAGCAGGTACTGATGGAACTGCCATAGTTGTAATGGGTGGGGTTATAAATGTTGTTGGACTTGCAATATGGGATGTTTTTAACGTGACTGCTGATGTCTGAAGAGTAGCTGGAAAATCTGTTGAAAATATGGGCTTGGGCAGTTCAGAGAGGCTTGTCGTGCTGTGGGTTACTTTGGAAGATTGCACTGTACTTGAAATGGGTAATGAATAAATTAAATAAGTTGTTGTATGAAGTGATGCCAATGAATGAAAGTCTGATGGAGCTTCTGTCGTAATGTTTGCTCCTCTTAAAGTTGTGTCCATCTTTGTGGTTATTTTGGTAGTTACACTTGTATGAGTTGGCTCAGCTTCCACAGTAACAAACAGAGGGGGCATTTGAGAAAATCTCTCTGTAGTAACAATTGTAGGAGAGATTAATGCAGTGGGTCTTGTTCTCTGAGTTTTTGTTCCAGCTGCCAGCTCTGTGGGTGTCACAGGTATGCCTGGAAAAAAAAACCATATGTTTCACTGTAATTCTGTACCAAAGAAAGAGCAAAACTGCAACATCTATCAGTCACTGAATATCAATCTAAATATAAACCAGCCTATTCTTAGAGAGTTTAAATTCCCTGAAAAGATAACCACAGTACACCTGAAAAGGCAGACTCTGCAGAGACTCTGCCTTAGTTGCAGCTCAGCATTAGTTGCCCACAACTCATGTTCATAAGGTTTTCTTCACAAACTCAAAAGCTAGGTTTTTTATTGTCTGTAAACTTTTATTCTGGAGCACAATTCTGTGGTAAGGAGTGAATTCTATAGCAAATTCTGCAAACACAGAACGGTAGAATATTTGGGACCCAGGGTTTAAAAATACAGCTTTCTTTTATATTTTTGGACACTCACACACTATGATAGATTACTTGTATTAGTAATTATTAGATACCACATAACTATTTTAAACATACAAAATGCAGAGACTTTATTTTAAAATGGAAGAAAAATAATTATACTGCTATATCATTGCATTATCCACAAATAAAGGAATGATGTGATAGCCACACACCAGCAGTTAAGCATCCAGGACACTGGGCTACTTGAATTTTTTTCCCAAAAAATGCAACCAAAGATGCAGTGATGTTGGCATCACCACAGAAGCAACAAGAGGTCATGGCAAAAACACAGGACCAAAGTATAATTGGGGCATAGCTGTGCTGGGACTTTAACAAGGACACGATGTTTCAATTTAATATGATGGAAGTCACAGAAGAATTGAATTTGTGTTCAATATGGTCAGATGTGGAGGCTTATTTTAGCAGCTGTATATTGGATGGACTGGTGTGGAGGGATGCACGTAACAGGGAGGCTAGAGAGAACGAGGTAACACTTTTGCAGGATGCATAGAAAAAACTTGTGCATCCACTGCCCATACAGTATGCATATCCCTCTTCTTTTCCCTTTCTCTATATATGGGCTTTATTTTCTATTGTTTTCAATCTGGTCGTGAGCACTAAATTAAATTATATCATAAAAAACTTTACCCGTAACTGCAGAAAGTACTTACAGTCTTCTGGATAAACACATTTTAGTGTCACCTCATCAAGGATCATATTTTTAGGACAATATGGTAAGCATCCTTCAACCCTTTAATAAACCCCCAAAAAAATCATGTTAGAAAAAAATGGCAAATCTACAATATCTCAGTTCAGTTTAACAGTTAAGGTTTAACAAATCAGTTTTTTTAACATTCCTTTTTTTTTTTTGCCACTGCCACACAAGGAATCCTGAAACGCCTCCTCAGAATAGCTTACACACACATTCACTCACTCTTCCTGATGCAGCCTATAGGGGATTGACAAGGAGTCATTCCACATTAATGCTGATGGGCCATTATTGACACAAGATGACAATTCAACCTTGTTTAATTCCAATGAAATGAACTTTTGATTGGGAACAATTAGTATATAATGTAATAAATCATTAAAAATGATAGGGTATCCATTCAATTATTAGTAATAGTAACATTAATTAGTATTATTTTGGAGATATATAGTTTATTTGGACTTACGGTGGAAGAAATTTACATGCTATTCCTTCAGGATCACTACATGTTTTAAAACAGGGGCTAGCACAAGGTTCGTATCTCCATTCACACATCCTCCTATAAGGCACTGATGCTTGGAGTTCTGAGAAAGAAGGAAAGCATGGCATTTACAGACTGATCATTTTTTCTGTTATGAATACTACAGTGATAGCTAGTTGATAGTAAAAATGAAATACAGACTCCCAAAATTTTCCAAAGGAATTATAGTGTTTTTATACGTGAGTATGTAAACCAAGGAGCCCTAGAAAGTTCAAAAATATTGGCGTATCAAAGATACCATCAGCTTTCAGTTCATCACCAAATATTCTAATAAATCTATTTTCAAAGGAAAAAGCACATATACTCAAATGTGCTGTTGATTCCGAGGGCAATATTACTTAATTTTCCAACAAACAGAAAAAATACGTTTAACTCATTAAACAATACACAAACTTTTGTCTGCTTGTGATAACATGTCAAATTCATTTCCAAATTAAAAATAATTATCAATCTGTGTGAATTATGCTCTCAAGGCAATATTCATGATCTTAAAAAAGAGGAAATCAATAACAGTTGGACATGGTGGAGGGGACCAAAAACTAATAGGAGAAATCAATATAAATATTAGCTAGTATTGATGAAGATGAACCTCATGTTTACCCCTCATAAGACAATTAGAACAAAACTGTATAGTATCTGTTGATATCATGTACAACTTACCTTCAATGCTAAAGCTACTTGTACGTTTGAATTCTTCTGAATTATCATACTTTGACACTTTAACACCAGAAGCTGTCAATATAATGAAAAAGCCTTTCTTGTTGTGAAGTTCAAATGCACTATAATCTGGAATCCAGAGGCCCTGGTGGTGGAAGAATGTGGCTCGTCTACGAAATGATGAACTTGCTGCCCACTGTTCCAAAGTAACAGTTTCATTGTCATGAACATATAGGAAATAGTTTGGTCTTTCAGCAGACTCCAGGGAAACAAGAGACAGAGCTGTGACAGACAAAAAACAAAGCAATCAGGAGTAGATTATCACATCAGGAAACTAAATGTGAGACTACGGACTACACATTGGCTATTGGAGTAGTTTATGTCAATATTACTGCTCTTCCCAAAAATTCTTCCATTTTTCTGTAGAAAATAGCAATGCTGACCCATAATTCAGTTTGGATTCAGTTCATATACAAATCTGAAAATTCAGCTATATATTGAGCTGACCGAAAAAAATCATTTTAGGAAAACCAAAACATTATTTTTCTGCCCCCAGGAGCAAAACTCTTCTAGCCAGCTGTCAGAAAGGCAGAATCTGGTCACTCTGTCTTCCTCCACCTATCTATCAACTCTGGGAGCCTGAAACATGCTGCCCATTCTTGGAGCTAGGGGAGAGGCAGGAAGGAAGCCAGTCCCCATGCTCTGCTGTGTTTTGATACAAGTTTAATCAAATCTGTGCTAGATTCAGATAAACATTGTACTTTACCCAGCTGGCATTTCTTAGTTTTCCTGGAAAAAATCCCACCAGTTCTAGTTACGTAAACATAATTTGTCCACACTCCCTTTCACTGAAAAAAATCAGGGAGTACATTTTGTGAGAACAAAGTCTTCTCTCCTGAAATTTCAGGCACTTCTATGTCCAGTCACAGCCAGATGTGCCATCAGGAAAGCTGCATTTAATAACTTCTTGTTCTAGTCCTGGACAGACCAGAGGTGAAGAAATCACTTCTCTGAACATTTAGAAACTCAGGAAAGGCTTGGTTCAGATTTGATTATGGGTAAAAATATGCAACTTCCTTCATTCATCCAAATATTACCTCATTCCTAGCAGTAACTTTTAATATGCCCATATAGTACATGATTTAATTCAGCTTTCAGTCATCTCAGTGTTTTACCTGTGCTATTTTATATCTGCTGGGTAATTTAAAACTCTTCTAGTCATGTGTACCTTGCCACATTTCTAAAATATATTCTTGCAAAATGTATCATTAGAGCCTAAATTATAGTTTCCAATAATGTATTTTAAATGCACTATATTTCTTCTTTAAATTATAAGGACAGATCAGTATTGAAACTGGCTACTCCAGTTTCATTTGTTCCATGCCATAAAGAGCAAACTGAAAAAAAATCATTGTAGCTTACTTTGGACAAATAATAAACTTAGAAATAAGTAATAGAGCAACTGATACATATAGCTGTAAAACTTGTCTTTGTCATTAGTGTAATATTGAGTATACTTACATAAGTCTTTATCTTTAAAAAGACCAGGAGTTATCATAAAACTAAAACCCACATTTCCATATGTACTGATTCTAGACAAAGGAAATAGCTTTCTGCTGGTAATGTTAGCTCCTATAATGGTATCATTCTGTCCATAACTTGCCAAAATATATGGTCCTTCTCCGAGGCCTGATGAAACAAACAAAATCATATGAAAAACTATTGATTTACTTATATTAAAAAAAAAAAGCAAAACCTCAGTTACTTCCACCAATGATTGTTGGCATATAGTGTCATGATTATTTCCCCACACTTGGAAATACGTAGGGTATGTCTACACAGCAGCGTTATTTCGGAATATGTCTGGTATCTTGAAATAATGTTTTCCGCATCTTAACAGCATGCCTATTATTTTGAAATGCAATCAAAATAATTGGCTTGCTATTCCAATGTACCGGAAAACCTCAATCCATGAGGATTAATGGACTTATTGGAATAGCAGTCTATTTCGAAATTTGGCACTGTGTATACAGCGCCAAATTTTGAAATAGACTATCTCGAAATAAGCTTAAAATAAGCTACACAATTTGCATAGCTCAAATTGCAGAGCTTATTTTGAGCTAGTACCACTGTTTAGATGCACCCTTAGAATAGGGCCACATGCCTCAATGTAATCTCAGGCCAAGACAACACCTACGGGTATGTCTATATTGCAGCTGGGAGTGTGCTTCCCAGTTCAAGTCAATAGATATCAGCTAGCACCCTAAAAATAGCAGTGCAGTTGGGTGTCGCACAAGTGGTGGCTTGAGCTAACTAACCATGTATGTACCCATGGACCAGATGGTTTTATACTTAGACAGCTAGTCCATGCAATGTACTACCCCCAACACTACCACTAGTTTTAGCAGAGCTAGTGTGTGGCTGTCTACTCGATGTTGGAAGTATGTTCCCAGCTGCAGTGTAGACATACATTTCTGTCATTTTAAGCAGCCATTCTTAAAAATACCAAGACTATGATATTTTCACAGAAAATATCTGTTATCCTGTTAATATGAAGTAAACTCATAAACCCCAATCTTGCATTTTACAATGCATGAACAGTGCCCTGTTGATGTTAACATGGCTCTGCATATGGGTGCAACAGTCCACCTACGCATTGCAAATTTCAGGATCAGAGCCATTCAATTTTTAAACCAGAAGGGAACAATATTATGAACCATCATGACTCCAAGTCACGGAATTATCACCCTGTAGAAACACCAGCAATAAAATAAGGACATAAACCAAATTAAGATAGTACAAGCAGGGGATTTAGAAGAACTTCCCAATGAATCAGGGTAACCTCTGTCTGGATGCACCCATTTACAAACACTTAAATAATGACGATAAAACTACTAAGCCCTGGTTACATTGGAGAGTTATTTCGAAATAACTCCCCTTCAATCGAAATAATAAGTAAAGCATCCACACTACGTTATTTTGAAATAACAGGCTGGTTATTTCAAAATCTGTACTCCTGCTTTCTTTGGGGAATAACACTAATTTCAAAATGATTATTTTGAAATAGCGTTAGTGTGGACTTTCCGGTGTTGCTAATTTGAAATAATTGGCCTCCAGAGGCCTCTCTCAGCTGCAGTTCTGACAGCTCTGTCCACACCTGGCATCTCCACTGCTCCCCTTCTCCTGCAGAGCTTAAAACTGCAGGCAGCAGGAGAAGTGCTTGTCCCACATGGCAAGCTGTGAAAGCCCGGTGCAACATAGCAGCATCTGAGGGAGCCATGACTAATCCCAATGCTCCCTCAGAGCCTCCGATGGCTGCCAGCACTCCTGCTGCTCCCTTGGCTGTCTCTGGCCAGGGATGGAGGAGAGCCCCAGCCTGGATTGGTGTGGAGATCCTGAACCTCATCGGGGTCTGGGGAGAAGACCACCAACCGCCAGGATCTCTGCACCAAGAAGAGAAGTGCGGAAGTCTAAGGCCAGATCACCACCAGTCCGGGTGAGAAAAGCCACAACTGGACCCTGGACCTGGTCCAGATGAAGATCAAGGAGCTCTGGCAGGTGTGCCACAAGGCCAGGGAACAGAGCAAATGCTCTGCGATGGCACTGCACACCTACCACTACTTTGAGCATCTGGATACCATCCTGGGAGGGAGGCTAGTCACCTCCCCCCACATCTCCCATCCTGGGAGTCTGGCCAGGACACGCCCAGTGTCAATCTCCAGAAGGGTGGGGTTGTGGACTAGCAGGTGGAGGAGGCCAGTCAGGCAAGCAACCTCACCCTGGACCCATTCCCCCGCTCTCAGGTTATCTCCCAACCTTCGGACAAACTTGGGTAAGGCACTTCAGGTGAATTCTATAACTTTCCCTATATACACATGAGCAGGGCTCGACAAATACGCTTATCTATGCCCAGGGTGAGTAGATTTCAGCCGATCGCCCTGTTCACTGGTGGCCTGCGCATGTGCAGTGCGGGTCTCGCGCAGGCGCGGTGTGGGGCTGGCGAGTGGTTTTCACCGCAATCTTCGAGCCCTGCACATGAGGACAGGTGATGGGCTGTGAGGGACTGCACATTCCTCACTCAGCTTATTCAGTCTGGGGGCCACACAACAGCCTGTGCACATGAGTGCACATGGAACAACAGTCTAGAGCATTCAGCTCCATCACGCTCTCAGAAAGAAACCCCTCAGGCTTCTCACAAGTTTCCTGGCCTTACTCTGGCCTCTGTGGTGGGACACCTTCCCATGACAAGCCACCACTAAGGAGTCTGGGGTCATGGAACCACACAGCACTGCCGCCCACAGCACAGGGTCATGTGGGTGTCCTGTTGCCTGAGGGCAGAGGCGAGCCACTTGCAGAACTTGAGGCAGGTGGCCTTCCACCTGCAGAAGTTCAGCGGCTACTTTTGGTTGTCCCATAGCTGCAGGATGATGTGAGCCCACCAATCTGAATGGATCTCCCACATTTAGATGCAGTGTTCTATTGTGTCCAGGGGATTAAGGGACATGTGCTGCAGCAGGAGCACCAGGACCTGGGTGATCAGGGCCTGCAGTCCGGGCTGATGATTGTCCTGCTGGTGGAACATAGGCAGTCTGAATGAACTGCATCATGAGGCGCAGCATGAGGCCTATGAGCCTTGCACTGTTTTGCAGCAGTTCTGGTTCCATGGTGTGAGTGCCGTGGCATCCGCAAGGGCAACCAGAACACATTGCATCCCATTTGAGATAGTGGAGGAGTGGCATATGAGATGTGGCCGTAAAGAGGAGCCCCTGAAAGCACACATCATAGCTTGCCTGACCAAACACCCACAGGAAGTCTCTGCCTTCCTGGTGCCCTCCCCTGACAGCTTCCGGGGGCTCTAAGTCCAAGGCAGGCTCCAATCAGTGTGGACGCACTATTTCAAAATAATTCTAATTTCGACTACACACTATTTAGATATTGTTAAATTGGGAGTTAGTATGTCAAATTTAGTTATTTTGAAATAATTTCTTAGTGTAGGCATGTCCTAAGAGTGAGAACCATTCATAAAGCTTATAACAAGCTCATATCTCCAGTTTTGCTACAATTTACACTAATTTACTACCATCTTTTTAGGTGGTATTTTAATACAGTAACATTAGAGATGCAATATATATTCATACTATTCATTATATAAGCAACTGAATTATAATTTTACTGCCTACACAGACAGCTCACTGCATTGAACATTAAAAGTATATATTCATACTATTCATTTTATAAGAAACAGAATTATAATTTTACTGCCTACAAAGACAGCTCACTGCATTGAACATTAAAATAGTAATAAGCATATACAGCTGGTCCCCGAGTTATGAACGGTCAATTTATGACCATTTGCATTTACGACCAAACCTCCCATTAAGCGGTCATAAAGGCGGTCCCCGAGTTACGAATGTGACCCGTGCTTATGAACAACACAGTCGCAATGTAACTCAATGGGATCCAACTTACAAACATTTCAAGTTACGGCCAAGTGTTTTGTCCGTAACCCGTTCGTAACTTGGGGACTGGCTGTATAACAACTTCAAACCACACAGGTTCCACACAAATATGTCAGTAGTTTGAATCTCTTAATAATATGCTTGTCTGTATATGTCAAAAAAGCTTTAATGACTTTCATATGGGAGAAGTCCCATAAAATAGTTGGGCCATTTAGAGAGAAAATATTGTGAGATACCATCCATAATGGAGTAAGATGGAGAGGATGGAAAGATTTTTAAGTTTATTTATAAATCAAGTTTATTTATAAATATAGTGTGAGCCTTTGGTGTTCTTTAAACTCCTTTTTGGCTTTTCTTATTATATTTTTACACTTAATTTGACAGAGTTTATGTTCCTTTTCTATTTTCCTCACTAGGATTTAACTTCCACTTTTTGAAGAATGCCTTTTTATCTGTCACTGCTTCTTCTACTTGGTTGTTAAGCTATGGTGGCACTTTATTTTGGTTCTCTTTCAGTGTGTTTTAATTTGGGGTATACATTTAAGGTGGGCCTCTATTCTGTTGTCTGAAAAGTTTCCATGCAGCTTTCAGGGATTTTACTTTTGTCACTGTAGCTTTTAATTTTTTTTTAACTAACCGCCTCATTTTTGTGTAGTCCCATTCTGAAATTAAATGCCACAGTGTTAGACTGATGTGGTGTTTTTCACACTATAGGGGAAAACACCTTCATAATATTAGCCTGGAAGGGCAAATATGGCAAAGGACTTGCAATATTTATGGCTATCATGCAAAAGCGACGAGGAGTCCTGTGGCACCTTATCTGACGAAGTGGGTCTTTGCCCACGAAAGCTTATGCTCCTACACTTCAGTTAGTCTATAAGATGCCACAGGACTCCTCATCGCTTTTGCAGATTCAGACTAACACGGCTACCCCTCTGATATATGGCTATCATGTTTCACTGCTGCCTTCTGATGGTTGAGAATATCTCATATATTCAAGAGTTTGTAACTATGGAATCCAACTGCTGGGGCAGGAGGCCCAGAAAAGAGACAACCTATAGCAGCACAGCCAACAAAGATTTTTCTTTGCTTAAATGGTGGAGGGCTGTGTTTTTACAGCAGGATGTCTCATATTACATCCCAGATGACAGACACAAGTGGTTTAGCTAATCACTGTATCCATGTAACCATTGTCTTAGTACCCTTGGAAGTCCCACAGGTGTCAGTTTCCTAACTATCTGAGCTGCTGGTGCACAGTCCAAGTATTGAGAAATCATTAACTTCCACAAACCAGAGAAATATCAAGCCATAAAAAAATTAGCCTCATGTTACATATATAAAATATATATGAGAGAGAGAGACTGTAGAGGTCATGGCTTTGTAAGTAAGGCTTGTGTGTTTTTCTCTGGCATAAGACACAGAGACCTGTGTGATACTCATGGGCGATGGGTGAATGCCCAGCTGGGGAAGGCAAACCCGAGCCCTGCCCCTTTCACCTGAGGCCCCGCCCCTTCTGCAGGCTCTTCTTCCCTGTGGAGCCAAGCCCGGCCCTACCCCAAGTTACTGTTCCCAGCCCCCTGAATATCCTGTGACCCCTTAGTCCCACCGTTCCAGCAAGTTGTATGGCTCCAGCCCTCCTGACTGGCTGGAAAGACAGGCTGTCACACTGCAGCCCCAGCCCTCCCGGGCGGTGGGAATGTGGGCAGTTTTGGGAAAGCAATGCCTTCTCTTGCCTACATTACTCACCACCCATGGCTATACTACAGAAACCAAGGTTTGAAAAACATGTTTAAATCTTGTTTGAAAACAATCATGCCCAAGCCTAAGTTCTAGCCCTTACCATAACCACAGCTAAATCTTGCACATACTAATTGAGGGTAACCATATTTAAACTTTTTAAAAAAAATACAGTTCCTTCTGGCATATAGAGCAGTGATAGGCAACCGAGGCTAGTGAGTGGGCATCATGGGTGGCCCTCCTTCACAGCAGTGGGCTGCAAGATTGTTGTAACCAAGATGGGATAAGGTAATTTTACTAACTGTGCTGGTGTACCTAGAATTTGCAAATTGAACCATAGCAGCACTTTGATTGAATACAGAGGGAGTGCACAGCTCTTACAGTCAATGTTGTATGCACTCAGTACACACCTCACTTCACAGGCTCTTGCTTTATATGCATGTCACTTTAGTAATACAGGTAGGAAAAAAACTATGTGGATGGAAACCAGTGGAATCTGGCAACCCTGTCAAGGCCAAAAGTAAACCAAATGTCTTATTGGGTACATATAGAACCTCAATGGCCACATGGGGGCCACCAATGGCAGGTTGCCCACCACTTATATAAAGGGTCATATGGTAGGGCAAGAAATTGTGGCTTATAATAATAAACATGCTTATGAAGCTATTTAGAGACATGAGGAAGCATCCAACAGAGAAATATTTTTCTTTAAATAAATACTACCTACCTTGGTTGTAGTATTCACAATTATAGGCTGAAAGAGAACAAAATAGACATAACACCATTAAACAGCATCAACAAAATCCTTGTGTGTCAACAACCCTAAAACACCATAAATCAAGGTTACAGCATTGTAATTCACTTTGATCAAAGTAAGTTTTGTTTTCCTTAGTGTGTTTCAATTAAAGGCTCTATTTCTCTAGGATTTCATTAACAGACGTACATCTGTGTTCTTAGAAGGGCCAGAGCTGCTGTTTTAAAGCACCAACTATATTCTGCTGAATCTTCAGCTCAAGAACTCTTTTTTCATGGTGAAGTTATAAGTAAAAATATGACAAATCTGCTGGCAAACTCACAGAGAGTTTAACAGTAGTGCACTTTAATGTGCTATTTTAAGGACAAAGGTATACTTTAGAACACAAATACTGGTGTCAGATCAAAGATCCATCTAGCCTGACATCCTGTCTTCTGGCGGTGCCCCAGAGGCAATGAACACAACAGATAATCATCAAGTGATCTATCCCCTGTCACGCATTTTCAGGTTCTGGCAAACAGAAGCTAAGGATGCCATCTCTGCCCATTCTGGCCAATAGCCATTGATGGACCTATACAAAACATTGTGATCATAATCAGCTTCCTTATAGGGGCTGTAAATCCAGTTCTAAAAGACTAGAATTGACAGCATGGAAAATGTAGAGTAGAAACACACATATCTCCTGTCCCACTTCAGATCATTTGCATTATCAGTGAGAACTTAAAATTAATCTTTTCTTATTCCTTATGTGTCAATAGAAATCAATCATTGAAAGGTCAGCTAATCCAGGTTTCTTTATTGCGTACTTACGACAGACAGAGGGAGATCTCCAGTGAATAACTGCACCCTGCTGGCAGCATTTGTAAGCATAAGCTGCAATGCTTGTACACAAACACTCACAGTCCCCACCAAGATTACAGTTACATGTGTCTGTATGGCAATTTTTGACAAATGAAGTCACATCAATCTGAAAAGTGAAGGGGGGGAAAGCAATTGAACATTCTGGGTCTCAGCTTGCCATCACTTTGAACCAAAACTCCCACAAGTTTCTAAAGGAAATCTGTGTCTAGAAACAATAAGTAGTCCTGTGGCTCCTTAGAGACTAACTATATATATATATATATATATAGAGAGAGAGAGAGAGAGAGAGAGAGAGAGAGAAAGTAAAACCCACTTCATCAGATGACTTAGAGTGGAAATTTACACTCCAACTCATCTGATGAAGTGAGTTTTACCCACGAAAATGCATGATACTATATATTTTTGTGTTCTGAAAGTTACAAACTAACACATCTACCCCTGTTTAGAGAGACAGCAGAATTCAACCCTGTCATAGAAATCTAAATATTTTCTAATGCTTGGGTAAATTACTTTATCTTTTAGCATAGGTATAACTACATTTGGCCACACAGACTGACACTGACTAGCATCCCCCACTGCCTGTGCACAAACACACAATAACCCCATTGTCTTCATAGGGAGGTCTGCCATTGCACATGGTGTGATTCCCCACAGTAGCAGTACTGAACAGCTGCAAGTCCCCAACACTGTGTTGAAGTCTTGATGAAAAATAACGAATAATTTTCAAGCTGCCTTAAATAATTTTGCCTGTCTAGAAAACCAACTGTGCAGATCATAAAGCTCATGCAGCATGCCTGCCTACACTCTTGCTATTTCGTGATTATGACCCTTTGCAGTGGTTACAAAATGTAGCCAGTTTGTGATTTTCTGTTTTTATAAGGCAAATATTGCCACCTAGTGTCATATCTGTAGTTTTACATTAACATTATCAAGACCAAGGCTATGATAAAAACGTGAGAGGAAGAGCCTGCAGACTGATTTTTAAGTTGATTTACTTTACTTCAAAAAAAACTGTAGTGTGCTAGCAAGACACAGAATGTCTAAAAAAGGAAATGCATTTCTGAAGCTGCTGTCCTTTTAACAAAAGTAAAATATTTCTGTTTTTTCCAGATTTTCTCTCATTTGTGTTATATCTCCCCATATTTGTATTTGCCCTCCCTTCTATTTGCTTCCCCATGCTTTTCATAACTCTAAAAATTAAAAAGAATGAAATTATCTTATTATTTCTACATCTTGGAGGCAGCCTTAAGTCATAAAAAATCTTACTGCTATTCTAAAACAGTGGAGAGATTTTAGTTTACTAATTGTAAATCAATCCGAGACATAGTTTAGTTGCACAAAAATTGTATCACAATCAATAACTTAAAATGAATGGCTGCTTTGACAAAAACCATGAAGGTCAAATTTTCAAATACTGAGATCTAAGCGGTATATACACTTGAAATGCACTTACGTCTACAAAATGTGTGGCACAACAAAGGTATGTGTACATGAGCAAATACGTAATTGGATAAGCAAGTTCATGTTTTGCACATGAGATGAATTCTTATGAACATAATTTTGCCAATGCAATTCAAGTGCCATTTTTGGAAAATTATCCCAAATACTGGTAAAACAGAGACAAGTGAGTGCACAGCAAAAAACAGAATACTTAAGTTTTTATCTGTTTTTAGAGAAAAAATGATCTTCTGAGGATTCCATTCCTACTTTTATTTTATGTTTGGAGAATACTCGTCACAGGCCCATGCTCAAAAAATTCCTATAATATTGGCTAATATGAGCATGAGTAAATCTACTTACTCCACGGTCTAACTCTGTACAACCCTGTAATTCTCCATCAGGCAAATTCCTGAGCAAACTGGTAGTCCTTACAATATGCCCTGAAAAATCAAGGAATTCAGTTTCTGGTAGGACATCTGGAGATACCTTTCATTATTCCAGTCTAGCAGTCATAAAGGAACAACTATGGTAAGCACCAATGCCTACACTGCAACTGAGGAGTGGAACTGAAGCATATGTATCTAGGCACTGCTAGGGGGTACTGCAGAGACAACGCTTTGGCTTGAAGTGGTTTCCAGCATTTACAGGTTTTACAGTTTGGTTAAACAGCTCTCAGCTCCCCACACTATCCAAATTGTTCACGCACTCTCGCAAGTGTAGATATATTCAAGTTAGCTTTTAATCTACAATTTTCTTCCACTATTTGATCTGAGGAAGTGGGTCTGGCCCATGAAAGCTCATCACCTAATAAACCATCTTGTTAGTCTTTAAAGTGCTACATAGTCCTGTTTTTTGTTTAATCTACCTAGTCTCACTAAACACCCTTATTAATGGAATGAGAGACTTCTCTTGTCACATTTGCTTCAAACTATCTGAATCATCTCCATCGTCTCTGGATTGAGCCTTAGACAAATTGCTGTAATCCAAGCCCCTATTAGTCAGATACAAAAGAAGTCAAGACATTGCACCATACATTAGTTGCCAGTCAACTACGCTATCATAGCTTTCACATCTAAATCATCTCTCTCTTGCCTAGCATCCTCAAATACAGATTGATCAGGACAAATGACAGAAGACAGCCACCTGAGATAAAGCTATACATGTATCTCCAACTTCTCGTATCACATACATTTAACATTTGTGTTTATCAAATTTTTAGAATCCCTTGGTTCGATGCATGTGAATAGTCAAATTTAGTTAACTGCATAGGGTGATCTACACTGCACTGTTATTTCTAGATAACTAGCATTATTTAGAAATAACAGTGTGAATGTCTACACAGCCATATAATTTCGAAATAACGGACAGCTTATTCCGAAATCTGTAAACCTCATTCTATGAAAATAATACCTATTCGGAAATTGCTATTTCGAAATAAGGCCTGTGTAGATGGTCCACTGCTTCTATTTCGAAATAGTCCCTCACCAGGGCCATTCTAAGTTATTCCTCCCCAATGCCTCCAGGGGCTTTAAATCGAGATAGCATGTCTACATTAGGGAGCCTGCCTCAGACTAATTTTGAGGCTTCCCTGCAGTGTAGACTTGCTATTTCAAAATAAGCTATTTTGGAATAACTATTCTGGAATAGCTTATTTCAAAATAAACGTGCAGTGAAGACATACCCATAGATTGCACGTATCAAATGTAGCTACACTAATGCAGTAGAAACTTGATTTTAAGAGATAGTTATCCAAATCTTTACATTACTTGAAAGAGGGTAATGTTCATAACATCTAATAATACTGAAAATTCGACCACCTGTCCTATACCTTTATGGATAGACTTTATGATCCAGACTTTGACTCCAATCTTGCAAAGAGCTCTGTACAAGCACAGGACTTCACCCACACAGAGATCCTCGCAGCACTGGGGTCTGAGTCATTGTCTTCCAAGTTTTCAGATTGAGTCATGTTGTACCAAGGAATAAATTACTGACTCTTGAATATTTTGCTACCAGACATTCAGAATCAATACATTCATCTTTGAATAATTAATACAGTTTTAACTTACCACATTTCGACAAGGGGCAAAAACATCACTGTATAGAATTGAGCATTCCCTTTTGGCATAGGGGAACTTGCTCTGATGTACTTCACATGGCTTTATGGTTTCATTTGGGCTTTTACACTTAAAAAAAACACAAAATGTGTTTAAAGCATATATAAGAACTATGCTTTTTTCTTGTTGTTGTTTATAAGAGACTTACTTTTGGCATATATCAAAACTCTCATTTCCAGGGAACAGAGAAAAATGTTAACCAGCAAATATTTTACGGTATGTTTGGCTCCTTCTTTCCTGTTTTTTATCATTAAAAATATTTGCATGAAAAAGAAACTTTGCTTTTTATTTTTAAGAACTCATATGTTCCTGCTTCTTGTGCAGAACATGAAGACAATTTTTTTGTATGTGTGACACAGTGTAATTGTTTCCAGAGTAACCAATTGCAATATCACAAACAGAACATCATGGGCCAAATCCATCCCTGGTGTTTTGCCATTGACTTTAAATGGCATCACACGAGGGATGATTTAGCCCTATATGTTCAAGTGAAGCAGCAGCAGTAGGAACGGATTAACTCATAAAAAACAAAGAGTCAAAGATCATCATGATAACTCAAATAGAACTGAGACACCAAACTCCCTTTTTAAATATCCTCCTTCAAAATGAAAAACAAATGGGCAGGAAAGTTTAACAAAAGGACACTCAATTTGCTGAATGCAAGTTCATCCAAAATGTGTACACGTGGTAAAAGGGAAAAATCTGGGGAGAAGCAGTGGTGACAGACATCTAGTGCTGATCATAGACAGGAAATTGGACATGACTTTGTAACAGTGTACAAAGCTCTAAAAAAAAAGCCAGAGCAAGCTGGGTTGTGTAAGTAAAGGCAGCATGTCATGGAGCCGAAAACTAGGTTTTCTTTTCTGTTGTTCTGATGCAACTGCACAGAGATCATCTAATGCTACCACATTCCCAAAAAGATATGGATGAAATGGAAGGATAACGAGGAGAGTGGTCTTCTTGTGAGGAAAGGTTAAAGAGAGTAAAATATATACAGAATGGCTAATCAGGGACATATCAATCTACAAGTGTTAGGTGCATTAACACAAAGGAAGGAGCTACATTATTTAGATAACACTTAAAATAGTAACTGAAGAAAAATAAGAAAGTAAAAAATAGGGGAGATATATTAAACTGTGAAATAATGGTGGAAGTTCCATCACTTGAGAATTTTAAAACTAGCTTGAACAAAATACTAGAAAATTACTATCCGGAACAATTCAGCTTTAGCAGGGAGATAACCATTTAATAAGGTTTTCTATTTCTAACTTTACCAGGCAAGGCCAGTTATGTACTAAATTTCAGACAACCAAATAAACTTGCAGAGAACCAATGTCTCTTACAACCAACCATCACTCGATCTCACCTTCTCTGCTAGATCAATCTTTGTTTGTAAAGTGTTTTTTAAAATCACTGCATGAACCTGAATCTGATTTCACAGGCCATTCTGGGCACAACATCCAGAGAGTCAACGTGGCTAGCCCAACAATGTGGAAATCATCTGTCCAGCTATCATTTGCATGCAGGCAAGTTCTAGGATTTACTTATGAGAGAACTGAGAGTCAGAACATGCTTGCCTTCATCAGAGGCCTCTTACATGGGAGACTAAATAACAAGGGTTTTTTTAAAGTTAGAGACTGTCCAAAATACCAGATTCAATGCATCCCAAATTTGGGTAAGTTTAGATCTACAGGTGAATTTTATAGATTCTAGTTTTTCTATATATTAATATTATAATTATTGCTATAACATGCACCAGGTTTCAGTTGTAAAACAATTATTTTGTTTCTTAAATAAGCCCCACCAATTTTTTTTTTCACTGAAACTCATCTACTACTTACCAAGATACAGGGGTGGACACTACTATACATGAAGTTTATAGACAGCAATTCTTCCAGAAGTATCCAAATGTCCCTCCCATGCATTGACTAGACTGTCAATTTGGAAAATGTCAGCATTCTAAGTGTTTACAACTTGATCTTATATAATTAACTTTTTATGCAGTTTATTTCTGAGTTGATGAACATGTTACGTACCTGTCCTATTGCCCAGCTCTCTCCAAAGAACTGAGCATTTCTCACTTCCATGTTGTTTGATGTAGTCAGATCATTTGAAGTGTATTTGTCAAAATTTCCACACAAACCTGCTAATTTACCCTAAAGCATAAATTGGAATGTTTTAAACATCTTTTGATTGTCAGCCAAACAGTAATTACAAGTCAGTGCTGAAACATATGTTGTTTTATTTTTAAAATAGTTTTAAGGGAGAAGAAATTAAATTAATGTTGCATTAATAAGAAGTTTACACAATAATTGCAATCCTGATCGACACTTTGATGATATTTGCCACTATATTTAGACAAATGAACTAAGGGTTTTGAAAGCATAAAATTATATATTCATTTTTGTTTCTATTTTTTGCTTCCCAGAACATATCTTTACTTTCTGGCTGAGAAAAAAGGACTTGGGGAATGTGAAGGGCTCTGAGCTGAGCCTGGGGCAGGGAGTTGGGTTCAGGAGGGGGGTCAGGCTCTGTAAGAGATCTTGGATCCAGGGGGTTGGAGGTGCAGGAGGGAGTTCATGACTGGGGCAGGTGTTCAGAGCTGGGTCCAGCTGGACACTGCTTACCTCAGGTGGCTCCTGGTTGGTGGTGCAGTGGGGCTAAGGCAGGCTCACCCCTGCCCTGGCCCTGTACCACTCTCAAAAGCAGCCAGCAACTTCCTTCTATCCCAAGCCCTGTTGTGCTTTCCCCCTCCCCCACCCTCCGTTCTGTGGAGATAGAATACAGGGTGAAAGAGGGAGCACCCTGACATCAACACCCTCTCCTCTCGCTTCCCTAATCTGTGCCACAAGCAGGAGGCTCCCGGGCAGGAGAGAGGGAAGCTCCAAGGCAAAGGGCAGGAGGTGCACAGCAGTGGGGGCAGGGGAAGCTGCCATGCTGCAATGGATAGCCTCATGGCCAAACCTATCAAGATCACCTGTCAGAGGCTCCAAGATCTACTGGTAGATCTCGATCCACTGGTTGGTGACCACTGATTTAGATTGTGGCTAGATCTGGTTTGTCCAAATGTGCAAAAGTCACACCTCTGGCAGCAATTTAAACATACCCTGAGAGAACAGCTTGGTAGACAACAAAGTGTGTTCACCTATTTCTTGTCTAGATGCTTTTACTTGACCTGCAATACACCAGCTGAGTTTCTGAACAGAACGTATTGGGCTGCAGTTTGCTAACTTGTGTCAAGGTTTTAGATTGCTGATAAATGTGCACTAAGAACGTGTGATTACATCGTGGGCTGAGCCCTGAGGCGGATGTAGGGCAAGGCGAACGGGGCAGCTGCCCGGGCCCCACGCTTCAATAGGCCCCACGTATGCACCCCGCGCACGCTACTTCTGGTCGGCTGCTGCCGATACGCATGCGCGAAATGCTACTTTTGGTCGGCTGCTCCTGAGGCACATGCGAGAAACGCTACTTCCGGTTGGCTGTTGCCAAGGTGCATGTGCAAAATTGTGTCTCCCCAGGCACCGCAGTGCAGCCCTGGGCCCCGCAAAATTATCATCCGCCCCGGTTGAGCCATGAAGTTCATATCTGAGGGATGGGGAGAAATCCAAGTTCAAGGAGTTCATATGCAATATTCTGCTTTGGATCTATCTTTGTTTTGTGATTGAAACCAGATTTCAAAAGTGCCCAAAGATGAAATGCTAACACACTGAATTCCAAGAGGTGCCCCCCACCCAATGGTCCTACCTCACACTGTATTTCCTTCTGTAATATAAAATACATAGTAAACAATGTCAAGTTTACAATTTGGTTCACCTTCCATCGAGGTCCAACTTTGACATGTATTGTTGTCTTCTTGTCCCACAGGATAGTAATTTCCTGCTCTGGAAAGTGTACCACCGTATAATATCCAGCCTTCCAAAGCTGATATGTTGCTTTGTTTTCCTGTCTCCTGGATGTTCTCTATCAGAAATGGATATTTGTGAAAGATCTACAACAGCAATTTTATAATGCATACAAGCAAGATGTGCCACTAATAGCTAGTCCAAGGCAAATTCTAAATTATAGCATAACACTAGCATGTTATCAAGCAACTAGGGAGCATTGCCTCAACTGTTTTGCTTTAAGGATTTTTATTTTATTTGTAGTTATTTTAGCTCTTTCTGTTACAGAAGTGCAGGAGAAACTCTCTAAGGGCACGTCTACACTAGCCCCCTAGATCGATTTAGGGAGGCTGAAGGCTACCAAAATTGCAAATCAAGCCCAGGATTTAAATATCCCGCGCTTGATTTGCATGTTCCCAGCCGGTCGCCATTTTAGAAATTGACTAGCCCAAAGTCACTTCCCGTGTCTACATGCGGCAGTGAAACGGGATTTCGATTTAAAGCCCTAACTCGAATTAGCTGGTAAACCTCATTGCAGGAGGAATATCAGCTAATTTGAGTTAGGGCTTTAAATCGGAATCCCGTTTCACTGCCGCGTGTAGACGCGGGCAGTGACTTTGGGCTAGTCAATTTCTAAAAATGGCGACCAGCCGGGAACATGCAAATCAAGCGCGGGATATTTAAATCTCGGACTTGATTTGCAATTTCGGTTGCCCTCATTAGCCTCCCTAGATCGATCTAGGGGGCTAGTGTAGATGTACCCTAAGCCAGGACTCTCTGGTTTAGCTGTTGTAGGACCAGAGAGTCCCAGCAGAGAGCCAGCAACAGGGAGCCCTTCAGGGCTAGCAGGGCAGTGGGCTGCCCGCAGCGAGCCACTGGCAAGGCCACTCAGCGTGCAGCAGTGGAGCTGCCCAGCAGGGCTGGAAGACTTGGTGCATGGCTGCCTGGTCAGGCTGAGAGCTGCAGCAATGTCAGCTGCCCAGTGCAGCCAGGAGCTGTGGCAACAGCAGCTGCCCAACAGGGTTGATGGGGCAGCAGGGCTGGCAGCAGGTGGGGAGCAGGCCAGGAGGCTGGCAGGCCAGGCCATGGCTGGGGAAGCAAGTGGCTGGGAGGCCAGAAATGAGCTCCCCTGGTCCAGCAAAATCCCTAATTCGAGATCAATCAGGTCCCGAGGATGCTTGTAATTCAAAACTCCTTGGCTCTGCTGGAACATCATTCATCTCTATGGGACCAATACAGCTGTACAGGGGTGGGGGGAGCAAAAGAGGGGTTGAGAAAGCAGTGGAAAAACAGGAATTTTCATGGGGACCCAAACTACATGAAGGGGCTTGGATGTTTTTGGTACTTTTTATTGAATAGGACTCAATTTAATAAATTAGATTTGTATGTTTTAGATATGTACCATATATGGTCATTCAAATAAGAAACCAGAGTAACTAACCTGTTTGTCAGAAGGTTCACTAAAATAAATCTCAGTGTCTCCAACAGAGATCAAAACGCTCTTTGAGCAAACAATGTCATTGTCAAAGCACTTCTTGTTCTGAGCAATTACAGATATATTTGTGTTGTCTGTACTCTGCAATATGAAAGAAAAAATCATTACATTTACAAATACAATTACACTTCACCTCAACAGATAAATTCCAGTTTCACTGTCACAAGGTCACACTTAATTTGTAATTAACCCTTTTAAACTGAAAGTTATGTAAAGAGGTATCAATCAAAGAGATTTTAAATCCAGCATTGTTCCTTCTTTTTATTCAAAGTTTAGAGTTAAACACAAAGAACTATTAAATCATCTTTCAGTCATTTTATATTTTGAGAAGTTTATTCACAATTTGGTCATTAGCTTAGCCTAAAATTCAACTTTTAAAATAAGTAAAAGTTTGGCCTAATTTAAAAAATTGATTACACAAACAAAAAGTAATATTTTTGGAACAATATGGTAATAAAGTCTAAATGCATTATAAACAGCAATGAGAATGAATTTTAAAAAGCACATATTCTGAGAATGTTTTGCCACTGTATTTCAAAACCAAGAAGCCTACCAACCATTTGTCATGGATTTCTAGATCATTTCACTATTGCCCGGCTTTAAAGTTCAAAATTATGGACTCAACTCCATAATTGGAGTTGGACTGAAAATTATAAAATGTTTTTAATTATCTTATGTGTTTTTGTCTGTCTTTTGATTTTTGAACTCCCCTTTGCCCACATCCAACATACAGGGCAGTAAAGAAAGTAGGTCCAGAGGTGAGGAGAAAGGGTTATGCAGCCTCTATGGTGATTCAATCTCCCACTACTCAAACTGCTAAGTGTGCTAACTATAGCCACTGGTTTTGTTTGTCTGTTGTCCGTATGACTTGAGGTCCATAAGCTATGTACAGGCCACTAAACTAAAAAAGTGAAGCCTTGAGAGACCTGATTCTGATCTTGCTTATATCAGTGTAAGTCAGGACTAACTTTTGTAAAGTCAAACTGGTGTGAGGTCAGTTTTAGGTATATGCTATTACAAGCCTATGTTAGATATGAAAAAGTAACCTGGGAGAAACAATCTCTAGACCCCACCACTGACTGCATCACCCAGTCATATATCCTCCATTTGGACACGGTCTAAAACAACTTGCAGCCTCTTTGTACCTTGTACAGCTACCCTCATTTTTGCTCCCTTGAACATTCTCTGAAAATACAACTAACTTAATATGTTGCGATGCAGCAAAAAGCTCAGAAGACTTACCTGCTTTCATTGAAGCATTTTACTGTGTTAGCTACTTGAGTTCAGACTAGGTGAGACACACGGGCTGTGTCTATACTACATCCCTTTTTCGACAGAGGGATGTAAATTAGACACGTCAAAATTGCAAATAAAGCTGGCATGTAAATATCCTGTGCTTCATTTACATAATTGCATCATGGCGCTCTTTAAAAAAAAGTACCATTTCAAAAGTAAAACCGCAGTCTAGATGTGGTTCTTTTGAAAATGGCAGACTTTTTTTGAAAGATCCTGTAAACCCCTTCAAGACGTTTAGGCTTTATCTACACTTCCAACTTTACAGCGCTGCCGTGACACTGCTTTAACGCAGCAGCGTGGTTATGGCACTAGCGCTGAGAGAGGTCTCCCAGCATTCTAAGTAAATCACCTCCAGGAGAGCGTGGTTCCCAGTCCCCAGAGACTGTTTACACTCGTGCTTTATAGCACTGTAACTTGCTGGGCTTGCGGGAAGAGGGTTTCACACTCTGAGACAGACAATTACAGCACAGAAACTTGCCAGTGTAGACAAGCCCTAAGGCCTTTTGAATCTGAAATCTCTG